AGAGTTAAATTGACAGCTGGAGGTGTCAATCTGACCGAGTCAAGCAGCAGCGGCGGTTTAGAAACCAAACAGCAGATTTGGGGATAGAGAGTTTGGCCGAACGAGAGAAGCGGCGAGAACAGAGAAGTGAGACTAGACTGACGGGGAAGTGAAGGGAAAGATGGACGGGCGCCCTTCACGGATCTCAGATTGTGCTGGCGCAGTGTAAAAACTTTATAAATAACTCCAGTCCCCCCGTCCGCAGCGTTTCTCTCTCTTGTGCTCTCTGCATCTATTCCATTTTTTTCCTTTTCAATCTTTCTCATTCCCTTTTTACTTGGAAAAAGAGCACAATCTCTCCATCGCTGTGGGCCTTAATTACACTGGATTAGAGGGATGAGGGGCACTTGGAGAGAGTGCCATGTGAGTGAGTGTTAGAGATCAAGCTGAGCCAGATGTGGTCTGCATTATTACAGCACGCTGGCTCTCTATGGCTGTTAATTATCCAAATTCACAATATGACCACTGGTGTGGCCACACCATTACACATTCAACTTTGTTTTTTTTTTTAAACCAATTTACTCATTATTGCTAGTGATAGTTGGAATATATTTTTATATGAATATATCAAACTGTGGTGGTACAAAGGGGTTCGATTTCTAACAATTTCTCCTTAGGTTTGATTGCAAACTACCCTCTTTTTCGTTTTTTGTCCTAGAAGGGATTCAGAGGTGGGTTTATGGTTTGCACTTCAGGGTATGAGTGTGAAGATTGCGGTTGGTGTGTTGCTGGATACATATTTTATGGTTATGTTCAGATCGATGTAGACAGAGGCATGAGTTTGTTGCTTACATTTATTTTCGATGAATGGAAATAAATCAATTCAGAGATGATTTCTCCTTCATTTTTTTAAATTAAGCTTTTTTCCAAGTCATTCTTAAAATTCCAAGGGAAGTGAAAGTGATAGTGATAAATGTTAAGACTGCATTAATACACATGATTATCTTGTGATTTTCTTTAATGCCAACGCATCAGCAGGAAGTTGGATCACAGTTATAGGTTGTTGTAGGAGGCTTTTACATTTTTCTCAGCCCTATTCGGCTCAACTCACCTTGCCCACCGCGTTATTAGTATGCGACACAAGCACAAGACAACAATGAAGGACATGATGACCAATCAGCACCCGGCAGCCTGCCGTCGGCACACTTGAAACCTCGGGCAGGGCGAGCATGAGCTAAAACTGCAACTGTTTGGAAATGCCAGCCCAGAAAAGAAATGCTAATAAGAAAACAAATACAGATGAGCCAGGTAGGCTAAGTAAGTACCAGTAAGAAAGTTTCAGACCACGATAACAAAAAAAATATATGACAGAATACAACTGTTGCCAAAAGCTTTTGAATCTCAATCATTCAATTTAGCTTAATTTTTGTGGATTGTGCAAGAATATAAAACAGGCTCTGAGAAAGACTGAGTTTTGCTTGATGAGCTTGCGCTTCACATACAACAAATAATGCTTCCGACTTCCATTTTGTAGAACTGTCATAACTGAGGAGTTTATATAATTAACCAATCATACTGTCTCCTGTCTCTCATGCAAGTAGGAAGCTTAAGGTAGCTAAGTGACTATGTTATAAGCACAGTGTAATAAAACAAACACAGCAGATACCTTTATGAGATGAGAGCTTTCTACAGGAGATTTTACTCTGAGTTGCTCTTCGGGAAAAACATTAAAAAAAGAACAGAAAAATAGATTATCTTGAGTTTGGGATGGGATTTGAAGATAATCCTGGTTTGACTGAATGCAGACATTATTGAGCAAAATCGTTCCTCATAAGTTTCCCGATCTGACAAGGTAGGGCAGACATGTTCTTCATATAGCAAATTAGTAAAAAGGTTAACTAAAAAAGACCTTATCTCACAACTTTTACTACCAAAATGAGCATTTCCAGTTTTCAGCAGTCACCAGATCAAAGTCTGTTTTTGTCAACAAATCAGTAAGTAAATGATTTTTGCTTTTCTGTTGAGTTGTATCGGGCCCACGTTGTGTGTGCCAGTAATGGGCTACGTTTTCATGGCTCTGAGTCAGATCTACAACTCTGTTTCCTCTTCTCGAAACCTTTTTACAAAAAAAATAAAAAAAATAAAACAATGTCGGACGTGGGTTCCTTTGTCATCTCTGGTGAGGGCAAAGGTAAATTACCAAGTATCTATTGAATAAATGTATTGTGGGAAAACATGAAGTAGATATGGTGAAAAAAATTAGAGCACCACTAAAAAAATAAAATAAAATAAACGCCCTCTCACCTTTATGTACGCTCTCCAAGCAACATGAATCATTCTACATTTCATTCATTATAAGTACCAAAAGGAAAAATCAATGATTATGCTAACATTATATTTTTCATCATGCCTCAGGCGGCTAAACTATCACAAAGCTGAGGGCAGCAGCACTTCCCCACCAAGAGGGTGCAGCAGCGGGTAAAACAAGACTAAAGACCTAGTTAGGGCTGTTACCAATCATTCACATCGATCAAAGAAGTTCAGTTAGTCTGAGAGTCAGTGGCTGGTACGGCTGAATTATACAATGTGATAGAGACACAGTGACAAGATACTACGAGAAACAAGGATACAGGCAAAGAGAAGTTAGACAGAAGTCAGATTACAGAGGAGAGTGTGAGACCCACGGGCAAAAAAAGGGAAAAGAAGAACAGAGGATATTTGTAATTTGTACAAATGGAAAAATACATGAAGCACTTTACTTGAATGAACAGTTTGAATAAAGCACCATGCTTTCTTCACCATTCCATAATGTTTGATGTACAATGTGATTTAGAAGTGTGGAGAATCGAAACGAAGGGGGACATGCAGGGGTGGAAAAAGAGGGCAAAGTGTAGGTGTGGCTAAATGCCATCCAGTCATCAGGGAGCCGCTTGTTAACAGAGCTCAGCTTCTAAACAGTAAAAGGAATCACGGTTAAAACAAGCCAGTGCTTATTTACAAGCTCAGAGAAGAGCCAGTCACCCTGGATATATCAGGAGTTTGGTTAGCCTAGATCACATACGCCATTTTTGATTCAATTCACTACCATGAGAAAAGATGCCAGCACCGTTGGCCAAGATGACATTTTAAAAATCATCAACATGAGCCTAACACACACCCCCACTCTGCGATGTGTTTAGAAATATGGGGGTGTTGTACTGATTTCCTCTGCATATTACATGCGGTTATATAACCACATAATCACTGGGAGATGTCCAGATTTCTAAAGATAAGCTTGCAAGTTACTTAGCAACCACCACAGAGCAGGACAGGGGAGCAGGTGAATGCCAATGACTACTGGCCAAAGTCTTTTAATTATAACAACAAGGCATGCACTCAAGCACCGGGGCTATTTTTATCTGTGTCACCGGCTTTAAATTTTCATCATTCAGCCACAAAAAAAAAAATCCCACCGCGCTGTGAGTAAACCCTCGAAAATACCTCTTGAATTGTCCCGAAAAGCCCTGACCTGATAGGTGTCGTGATGATAAGTTTGACAAATCTACAAAGGTTTGTTTGACACAATCTGCATTGCCCAGAATGCCCAAGACACACAGAGCATCCCATGTAAATGTCATGGTCTGATCTTTCAACTCATTGCATTGGTAATCGTATCTATCCCCTCTGGATGATGCTGACATAGATTTAGCACCAGCATTAGTTGATCTTTTTTAGATATAACGCTTATTCGACCTTTCGCGTGCACCTTTGTGTTGTTTTTCTCGTCTCAGTATTGTCCCGGTCCTTGCCTCACTTTAAACCTTTGAAAATTAGAGTGGGAATTAAAAGTAGATATGAAATTAGGACACTAGTTTTTTGAGAGGGGATAACTGAACCGGCCTGCACGGAATGCATGCCAGCTCTAACAGCTGACAGCTGTGCGGCCACAGGGGAGGCTTTGCAAACCGAAGGCTGAGAGTGCTGGTATCAACCCAAAGCTGGACAGAATGCACTGGATTCCAAAAAACTCTGAGATGTGAAAGCATTCAGTTCCATGCAAATGGGTCAGTCCTCATCATTGGAAGCCTTTCCACTTTCAAAGATTAAACTTTTTTTTTTCTCCCACTAAACAGGATGGAACACGTAATGTCATGAACACATATTTAATCCAATAAGAACAGAGAAAGTGCACCATATGCGAACAACAATCGGTAAAATGTTGGAGAACGAAGGAGACTAGTTGCCGGGCCCTTGAGGAAAGAAATGTTGTCCTGTCCTTGTTCTAAAGAACGCAGGTCTGTTAAGCACCTGTAGTCCTTTACTAGAGCCCTGTGCTGGAATAGATACAGTATTTAGTCCATCTTAGGGTTGCAGAGAGGGTTCCCAGCTGTTAGAGGCAGGGACACGCTCCCAGTCCAACATGCTCTGGAACAAGAACTTTTCAGGCTTTTGTTGTCCATCTTTTTGGGCCCATCAAATTTAAGATGACCTCATGCTTTTCCTGAAATAGTAAAACCCAGCTTCTACCCATCACCCCAAAACATGCATGTTGGTTTGTTTGGTGACTTTAAACAGGGTTTAGTAGTGACTGTACTTGCCCTGTGACATAGATAAAGGGATAGAGGTGGAGTACATCCTCACTTTTGACAGGTTTCCTGGATGGATGGATAAATACCTCATTACTCCCAAGAGAAAGTCCTGTTCCACTATGAAAGAATATTGGCTCAGATGATTGTGAATCATTCATAACACAAAATTTCTACTGCATCCCAAGTCTTTGAGAGTTAGGATAACTAATGCACCATTTGATTTAAAAATAAGTCTGTCTGTCAGTATAAACCATGTTTTCCTTCAAACAGGGATCATTGTACTGAATTTCATGTCTATATATTGATTCTTACGTACTGGATTTCATTGGGGTTCATTAGTCTTTATTTATGATTAAACACTCAGGCCCTCTACATTAAATTACCCCTTCAAATCCATTAAATAAAACTTCCTGAATGTTTATCAATCATTTTCACTGTCTTGAATTTTGCAGTTACGGGGACCATGTTCAGCATTTCAAGGTGCTGCAGGACCGCTGCAGTCAGTACTACGTGTGGGATGAAGTTTTCTCCTCCCTCAACGAGCTGGTGGAGTTCTACCACAGTAACAGCATCGCCAGGGAGAGGACCGTCTTTCTGAGAGACCCCGAACACTTTGCCAGGGTGAGTCTATGTGACTCATAGCTTCATTCACTCAGTGTCTGTTTTTAGCCTTTTCTTTTACCATAGAAACCAAAGCAAATGAAAAAAAAACATTTTTAACTTAACGTTTCATCATTGTGTGAAGGCAGTAAGAGTGGAAGAAGTTACACCTGTCTTCCTGCCAATTTTGTGGTGTATTATTTTTAGGCAATATATTTTCAAAGGTTGCTATGAGAGATGGACGTATATGCCACAGGCTTTGAGCACATTGGAGATAACGGACGGAAAATGAAAGGAGTCCAGTTGCTAGAAGGAGCAAAGGTTCTAACCTCGGTTTGATTGAACACAACAACATTAAACATAACAATTACTTCAGGTCATTTTCATTAGTATAGTTTTACTACAGATTTTTTTAAATTAATGTTCAAAGTTGGACAACTTAATTCTACTGCAGATGTTTTATCTTGTTTTTCCTTTTGCGGTGTCACCATAACGGGCCTCACCAAACCATTGAAAGCACATCTGTTGGTTGGATCAGCTGTCTTTGTCTCACTCCTCTTGCATTTCAGTACCTTGCAATTGAAGTGTCAGGTGGGCCCCGGAGATGGCGTGAATTAATTATATGTTGTCAAATCTGTACGTCAGGGCCAACATAGCGTGCTGCAAAGGTGTTCATTTTTCATTTTGCGGCGGCTCCCAGGCATGGCTGCTTCTGTAATGGAGTTGGCAGATGCAGGAGCACTTCCATATGTTGTCTGAAACTTCTGGAGCAGCAGTGGCGGCGTTTTGATGTAAAGTGCAGCTTTTTATGAAAGATCACTGCCAGTTTGGAGCCGAAACATCAGTCATCTCAGTGGCTTAACTTGAGAGAAAGACTTTAAAGGCAAACACACAGCAGATCCATTCAGAAATCGAGTGATCGTCATGTTTGTGTGACATATTGACATATAATTGGTTGTAGTAAAATCTAATTTTCTCGGTCAGCTTTCTACATATTGATGGTATCTCTAAAAACAATACCGTTAAGCTACCCCACGTCTTTCTCTGAACAAAGACAAGTGTTTCTCTGGATGGTGTCGCTATGGGAAAATCAGTTGTTTGTACTCCGTTCAGAAACAAGATCACACTGCATGACAACTAATCCTAGGAGCGCACACGAGCTGCACTGTGCAGGGGCTTTGATCCAAAGCGGTTCTGACAGGACAGCATGTTGATACGGCTGCAACACCAGCTACGTGCTAACGCTCATCACATCATTCTCACTGTCGCACAGCACCTGAGCTCAGACCTCCAATCATCAGCAAAGTGACCGTGCTCAAAGGCCACAGCGTTTTCATGCATGCTCCTCCATCAGAAGGAAAAATCCCAGTCTGATCAGTTAGCTGACTATCAACTTTAAAAGTCATCCTGAAATAAAGAGGATGAGGATGAATTCATCCGAGAGCTCAGCTGAAAATCTTGCACAAAAACCAAATGTGCATTAATTCTGTTAAGCATGGCAGGAGTGTTTTATGTTACTCATAATTAGACTCTTCTCCATTTATCAAGGGCAATCTCTTGCGAAGCTCATTGTGCATCAAGTTTTTTTTTTTTTTAAAGGATCATTCTGGCAGGGCTCCCTAAAGATCCATTTATGTTAACAGTGAAGCACAATGGAATCGACACATATTCACAAGACACAGACGTAAGCAGACATCTGCTTAACTCTAATTAATCCAGGGTGACTTCTCCAGCTCTCGTTTGTTATTTTTTTCTCAGCTGTAAGGCATACAGAGACCAGACTAATAGCGACCTGCACGAAAGTGTCACATCAAATGAGTTTTTAGAATTTGCCCTTTAATGACCGTGACGCATGTTCTACGTGGAAGTGCTCGTGTTGAGTCGAGTACGTTGCTGTGCTCCCCACGACCCCCCGACTAGCAGGATGTGACACAGAAGGCGGTAGGTACATCACGGTCGCAAATTAAGAGATGCGTGTCATCATTTTTGGCGCCTGTGTACGAAAGTAAGATAAAGGTAAATGTTTGTAGGGTTCATTACCTTCATACTACAGTGTTCCACCTCATTTGTCTCTCAAAATGAGAAATAATCATATTATTTTATATATTTAGGTTTAGCTCAATTAAACTCCAATTCTTTTTCTGCCGATTCCTTTTTTTTGGTGTAGAAATTAAGCTCAACTGGCTCCTCTAGTTACCTGCAACATTACACAATAAAGACAATATCTCTCATACCCTTATTTGCTTTTTCCATATGTTTTGTGTCAAATGTGAACACTCTCTAAGAACACTCTTTTTTTAAAACAGGAATTCTAAGACTGTAAAAATAGTTACAGTCAGTTCTAAGAATTGCACAAAAGACTTTTGTGGAAACTTTTCTGGGCTCTGCTTTGCCAACAGCTGATTTCATTTTCTGTTGAATATCCTCTGTAACCTTAAAAATCAGCCATGTGCCGAGGATGAAGTCGAGAGAAAGAGGTGAAAAGGCACTGTGACGTCTGTGCTGTAGCCTGCGGGTAGTGGGTCATTGCTGCTCTGCGCTGTTTTGAAGATGATCAAGAAAGGAAGTGAGTTTAGTGTCAAACCAGCCAGATCTGTGAGGCAGGAAATGACAAATGCTAGCAAGTTTGTGTCAGGCTACCTGACACGTTGTGTGTCCCTCACTTATTTTCTGCAGTATTCACCTTCAAATAAAAAATGGATTGAGTGGATTTTACCTTCATTTGGAGATAAGCCACGTTTATTGATCTCTGCTATAAGTGAGATTTACTTCAGAAGATCTGGCTCCTGCGACGCAGGGAGCTCTTTTCACCTCATCTTATGGAACTGCGACTGTGAGCGTCCCATCGATGAAAGCTGGACTTTAGCTGTCCATCAGCTTTTGAAAACCTTGACTTTATGAGCGACGCAGAACGGTGGCAAAGCAGCCTGAGCAAAGCTGTATTTCACCTGGTGGAGCAGAAAACCCTGGGACGGCACATTTAGATCGTAAACGGGGGGCCTGGCTTCCACGCAGCATGTTTCTTGGCAACTGAGTTGTTGTTTAACAGCCTCCCTTCCTCGTTAGAAACCAGTCAGGCATGTTTCCAAATCCCCAGGGGAAGAAGTTTATTCAACTTTGAGGGGGAAAAAACGCAACTGAAGCAGGTGCACGAAATGAATTTAGCCAGAGGGTGCTGCGCTTATGGTTTAGGCGGGGGAAAAAAAAACGAAATTCTGCCACATGGGACGCTAACCAACTGTACGACCTAAATCCTGTGGCATCCTCCCTCCACCTTCAGCGGTTGCCGCGGATGCACGGAGACTGAACGTCATATCCCTCCCTCAGCGCACGTTGACACTTTTAAAACGTGCACTCAGAAATGTGTGAACAAGAGCTCTTAAGGAGGTGGCGACACGTCGTGCGCTAACACCAAGTGGCAGGCGGACGCCCTCGTGCTGATGGACACTCACATTCTGCTGAAGTATTGTTGACAGACGCTGGAAAGTGGGAGCAGGTGGCAATAGGACAGAGCAGTTCCGAGACCTTCAATCACTCGGATTCTCTCGAGGGACCATTATTCCTCTTCCCGTTGCCTCCAGGCTGAAATCTTGTTTCACACAGAGCGTGATGGCTTGTGTTCCGATCCAGTCTGGTCTGACCTGCTGGTTGAGCTTGTAAAAGCAAGAAAAGAACTAACTAGAAATATTAGAAAAGATATTCAACGCTGTTCAACAAATAAGAAATCTTCCTTTTGGTTGTTTTAAATTTTTTCTTTGATTACTTTTCTTAGGTGTCATATAAGAATGCGAAAAAACAGAAGGTTGAATGACTGAAAGATGCAGCTTTCTTTTCATGATTTATTTATAATAAACTTCCATATTTCATGCTAAATTAGTTCATTGCTCTTTATTCCCGTTTCCTACACGTGGTTATGTGAGACAACTTGTTTTTTGTTTGTTCATTAATAAATAAGTATTTCAGTATTCAGCTCTGTTTTAGAACCTCGTCTTCAAAAGGATCCCATTCTTTACAAAAACAAATAACTACACTCACATCTTCTGTGTTGGTGTGTGCATGAAGTCATAGCTTCCTTATCCCAAATTGCTCCCTGAAAATTCTTCCTAGTTGGTTAGATAATTGTGTTCCCTGAGACTTTAAAATTAAAATAATGTTATAATGATATCTTGCAGAATCAACCAGCCAACTGGCATCATGAGGGACCAGTGTCCCTTTCTGTTATATAGTATATAGGTCAAATTAACAGGCAGAGAACTAAGTCTGCAGACGGTTTTAATCCTGTTGAAATGCTTTTGTGCTGTAACTCCTATTGTGCTGCTGCTCTTTCCAAACTAATTCCTCTTTATCTCGTTACAAGGCTCTAGATTGTCTTTTATCTCTGTATGACAGGATGGGATATAACTCTTTCCTTTTTTTAAACTCCACTAACATCCTCTAACATCCCTGAGTCCTTGTGCCGTGAAGCTTTCCCTCCAAAAAGAGCCCTGCCCATGCAAACCATGGATCTCGCCTTGTCATTTTTCTTTCAAGCATAAAGACAAGGTGCACTCAATACGTTTTTTTTCCACTTTAAATGTCACACATGCGAGTATGCACTGACAAATTTAGCACACAACTGTCAAGCATTGATGTTACAGCCTCTGAAAGAGTTCTTTGAGGTTAAATGAAGGCTGTGGAGATTTCTCCATCCGGTCCATTGGAGGCCGGCACAGAAAAATGACCATGTTATCCACACGTTCATTCTCACGCACATCCAGTTTCTGCACACACACACCCAAGAAGTAATCATGCAAACATACAACCTAAAAGTCTAGACCTCAGTGGATCAGGACACAAAAGGCATAAGACCTTTACAATGTCACTGTACTGTAAGGCTGAGCCTGCTTCCATTGATCCTAACCTTGCTGTGTGACTCATGCTTGTGCTTGTTTGCATGTGTCCCTGTTTTTGCATGGGCACCATCATCTCAGGCCTTGTTCTATGACAGAGTTAGGCAAAGTGATAAAGACCATAACTGACGCAAAGGTACGCTCACAAACTCGCATACCCAAAAAAAAACAAAAAAAAAGTATTGGTATTCCTTCCAGTCTCTCGGCTCCCTCCAAGCTCATTCTAAATTCACTTTCCTCTGTGGGAGTGCAGCTGACAGCTGAGGTTGGTTAAGTTCAAGATGCTCTCCTTTAAATAGCCACTTTCATTCGGCTGCTCTTAAACTGCTTTTATTTCGCCAGTCAACACAGATCAGTGGAGGTGTGCTATCAGGGGAGAAGAAAAGCACTACTTTTGTTGGATGAAAAAAAAAGAAAAACATGGTGAGAATCATATAGCTCGGCATCTGAAGACAGTTATTAGATTGGCAAAAATCTTACTGCTGTTTGTTGTCATTACTCACAGTTGTGAGTATCACTCTGTATTCTTATCTGGTGTTAAAGCTTGTTGTTTTTACACTGAATACGTCTTCCTTTCTCTCTCTTGCTTTTTTCCCTCTTCTTTTGTAACTTTTTCTTCCCCGTCTCTCTTTTCCAAATTATGAAACCCAAACAGTCTGAAATGACGAGTTGTGCGGTTCGATCGTTATGTTTAATAAAGCTGAACATAATTAGACTCATATGGAAACTGTTTGAACAGCTCGAACGTCCTGTGGCAATGTAGAATTTACTCTGCGACTGAGATAGCTTTTGATTTTTATAGAATTACTTGCGGTTAGATGGGATAGCACTGTAAATGAAAATATCGATGAAATCTTATGTCATCAAACTGAGATCGGATGCAAATTTAGGTCTCAAATACGCCAGAGGGGGAAATAATTATTTGCTCAAAATGTCGATGTACCTGCTCCACTGTTAAACTTTTTAATTCTCATGGATGTGAATCTATATGCTAGCCCAAGATAGCTGGGTTTGAAGCATGTCTTATTTAAATGTACAAAGCTGACAATACTGTTTTCATTTTTCCATGGTTTTACTACAAAGCTCCACAGAAATTAGTTTCATTTTAACAAGACAGAATAAAGAAAGGTCAACTCAATTTTGTTACGTGTTCATGAGGCTTTTGCCTCTCATATGTTGCAGTAATTGAGCGAGCTGCTAAAAGTTAACTTTGTCCTCGTTAATTTCAAAGCAAAGGAAAGCCAGAATTCTTCTTCCTGCCACCGCTTTGAATGTCTTTTTCCTTTGATTTTCTTTCCATTGCAATCTGCAGCTTGGCCTCTAGATGTCACTATATCAAACATACCTCTGCCTATCAGCACCAACAGTGAGAGGAAATTGGACTTTTGGTACAGCTTCTTGTTTTCTGAGACTAAGGTTTACTGTTTAAGCGTGGACATTATTAAAAATGATGAGGTCTATGTGTTCACTAACCCTCTCTTCTGTCCCTTCTCTCTCCCTCGGTCTCCATCCCCAGCGTCCCCACCATGCCCACGCTCTCCACGACTTCACCCCACACCACCCTTCTCAGCTGCGCTTCCTGCGCGGGGATGTCATCGAACTCATTGACTGCTCCGATTCCCTACGCTGGCGGGGTCGTTGCCACGGGCGTGTGGGCTACTTCCCCCCAGAATACGTCCAGACCATTTGCCAATGACCTGGCATCTCATGTAATCGCTCAGCCATTCCAGCAGGTTCACCGATGAGCCGTCCTTCAACCCCCACCCACTCAAAAAAACAACAGGAACTGGTCCTGGATTCACAGTTGCCCATCAACGACTGCAGCAAACAAGCCACTGCTGACAGAAACCTCCCATCTGTCAGACGAAAACCTCGCCAAACCAGCTGTTACAAGTTCATCAGCCTCTTCCTGATTCGTCAGCTCCACTTCTCTATAAAAATGAAAAATGGACCTAGACACTGTGGAAAACGCTCACATATTAAGCAGTCATAAAAAAAGAAAGCAGAGGCAAAAAAAACAAACAGTGTTGCAGCTTTTCAGGTTGGTGCAGACTAATTAATTGTAACAAACACTAACTTGATGGGGGAAACAAAAGTGGGTCTATTTGAGCTAATGACAGAAGGGAAAGGAACACGTTCCAATCTAGAGCTTTGCATGAGGATATTTGGTGAGAGGACAAACCGTGAAATAATTATTTTGTGAATATTTGGAACAAATATTAAGAATCCTGATAAAGTAGATCCCTCTGTCCCTGGGCTGGTGTGTGTGTGTCTGTGTGTGTGTGCACGCGTGCGGGCGTTTGTACATAATAGGTGGGCCTGAAAATAAGTAAAACTACAACTTTCAGAGATGTGTGCCTGTGCGTGTTATTGTGAGAATGAATACAAGTATTCAAATTGCTGGACACGTTGCTTTTGCGTATGCGTGTGTGTGCTTATTTCCACTAAAGTATGAATACAGCTCAGAAACCGTTTGGTATTCAAATACACTGCTCAAAATGTGATACCCCCCGTCCCAGTTCATGGATCACTTGTTTGTTTTCATGTATTTATTCTTAATCACATGTAATAATAAATTATGTACAATGCAAATGAAGTTTAATCACTGTAGAAAGGCTATTTTGTGTTGGAAGAAATATCAAAAGAAAAAACATTTTACATTGATTACAGTGAAAAGTTGGACTGGTCTTCCGTATGTAAGAACAAATCATTGAAATAAATAATACATTTACCTCTTTGAAGATGAAGTTTGGGTGTTATTAGTGTTGAAATTGACGTCTTTGGCAGTGAACACTGAATTATAAAAGACTGGAGAAACCATTAAAGCATTAAAGGTCACAGTGGAAACACTTTGGCTGTCATCCACCTAAAATTGCTATAATTTCAAGAAGGATTTGGATTCAGTCAAGATGGCACTGCCCAAACATGCACTCTATTTTACAGTACTTTTTTTTTTCTTGTAAAATTTGTTATCGAGGTAATTAGAGGGGTGTCTTATAGAACCAGAGAAGGATGCATGTTTATGATACTTTCTGAGACCTTCGGGAAACTTATAACTAACCTCATATTCTATGGGAAATGTATTTAGTGCCACCATTAGGTCAACGTTAGAGGTGTTTAACAACAATGAAAACATATTCTACTTTTGGTCCAAAATACAATTCTGGAAAAGCGCCGTCAGTTCATTACTTAAATTGCACTTTTTATTCAGGAGAGAATATTAGATGATTACATTTTAACATTAGATCTTACATTACCTGTCAGGGATGTGAACACACTGTTATGACATTTAACAGGTTTTACACAAAGGGTGGGTCAGTCATGGGAATGTAATGTTTGAAATGGAGCAGGAAGCAGACTAAAAGCTCACTAATCCCCTGGACTCGATTGTAGCTTCTTTGCTGCCTGTCTCCTCTTTTGTTTTAATAAACCATTCTCATTCCTCCTGACAGAGTCACCTTTGGCTTTCCAGCAACGGTCAATAAACTAACAATCTCCAGCAGGGGAGAAGGACAAGGAGCAGTGAAACGTATACCACAAATAGTTGTTGTTATATTCCTCAGATCTTTATAGAACCATTGAGTCACTTTGACACGTTTGTGTGGCATGACATGTTTGTCACACACTAAGCGTGTAAGAAAACTAAATCCGCCCCATCACGTGGAGAACAACACAGAAAAGAGCAACAGACAAGACAAAGTCAAACACAGAGTCAGACCAAATGAAAATGGGTGAGACAGGAAGAAAATAAATGAGATGAGGTGAAGAATTACAAAAAAGCTAAAAGGTAACTGAAAGATTACCAGTGAAGAGGCAGAGTGTCAACTGCACAAAGAACATTAACACTAAAAGAAAACAAGCAAGTAGCTAGGGAATGTGTGTAAGCTCCAACACGCTCTGCTTTTCATAGGTACAGAACAAAAAAGCAGAACAGCTAAACTAGTTTGAGAAAGTAACTAGCCTCCGGCTGGTAGGGCCTCTCAGTGAAAGGAGAAACAATCAGCCTGTGAACCAGTCTAACACCCTGTAAAGCAGAAAAACACTTTGAATTGTTGAAGAAGTTGTTAAGCAAAGTCAACTCAGCGAGAAAAAGAAGAGTCCTGGAGTGAACACTGACGTGCCTCTCAAAAAAAAAATACTTAAAAGAAATAAAAAAAGAAAAATAGGCAGGTGTTTAAAAAACCTGTCCAAGCAGTGTCTCAGTCCATGCCACAGGAGGATAGGCATTGAAACACACAAGAGACAGCCACAAAGTGGTTTGTGTTCCACAGACTAAAGAGGGAAAAAAGTGGAAAAAATAACCGGAAAATTGTATTTCAAAAGATTTATAAGCTTTAAGCTTTCTATAAGCTTTCCAAGAGCTACTTAATTGCCAAAAAGTCCTTCTCAGCCACCCAAACTGAACATTTTGGGGGCTTTTTAAAACAGAGAAATCCAAATATCAACAGATATATCTCTTGGTAAAATGGTAAAAGGAAGCCAGTACGACACTGCTTAGACAGTTTTTCTCTTGCCAGCTGGAGCAAATCTTCCCACTTACTCCTGTTACATGTGTGTTCTGTGCATGACTCACTGAAAAACACCTCTGAGAGAGAAGAAGAGCAACAAAATCGCACCCCCGTGTCAACTGCAACCTTGTTTTAGTCTCACTTTCTTCATAAAATGAAATCTATCCCCTGCTTATCAGGTGAAAATTACAAGTTACTTAAAATCACAGAGAGGATACAGAAATATCTCAGGTACGTTGGGCTAAATTAAAAAAAAAAGAGGCAGCTTCAGCTGTAAAGGCTTGTTTTGTTGCCTTTGAGGAGTGTTGCATGAATGCCGCCCCTCTTAACTTTTAATGATTATGTTCTTGGATTTCATGGAGACACTGATTCATCAAACTCATAAAGAATCAAAAGATCCGAAACACTGCACTCCAGGCATGAGACGCTCCAGTTAGTGGTTCGTAAAACTCCGAGCTTTGTAGGGATTACTTTGAAAAAATGTCTAAATTATGGTTACAGGCAACTTTCAACGTGTTACCCCCAGGTCTCCATCCTATTTTTCTTATTATCCATCCCATATTGTTACGGCTTATTCCCTAATTATGCACTTTATTTTTTATGTTTGGAAAACACTGGTTGGGGCTGGTGTTCTGGCATGTAGACTCTGAGTGAACCGCAGGCCCGTGCTTGGTGGAACAAGTAAAACGGCACGTTTGTGGTGTGTTGTGACATGACATGATCCGACAGGTGATATCCAACTGCAGGGAGCCCTCGGCTAATGGTTTAATGAGTTTGAGGAACAGGGAGGGATGACCTTATCCATCACTTGTCTCTCTCAGATTTCTGGAACTGGGCCCCTGCTGGGAGAGTCTTAAAGTTCATGGGCGGGTGGGTGTGTTTTACCTGTGGGGTGGCACACCTGTCACGCGGCGGCATTCCTCTGCCTCCCTTTTTCGCTCCCTCGACGGGTGAATTCCACATTCGGTAACGGGAATGACACGGCGTTAAAGCACCATGGCCGGCCTGGGGACCAAAGCCAATGGAAGACGCGGGCAACATATTATTAGGTGGACCAAATTCCCCGTTACACCCTTAGGCAACCGTCACGGCAAACGTGGATTTAGAAGTTTGTTCGTTTTTACGCTTTTTATACCAACGGTCTGAGGAGATTTAAAAAGTTTTACCGTTCTTGTGTAGTCACTTGGGCTTCAGATATGGCTCTATCCCAGATACAGTGCTTGGATGATAAGAACATCAACCCGAGGACGCACGAGGCGAAGCCAGAGTTCCTGTACTGCGAGGACCAGCGGCTCGCGCTCGAGGCGCTCCTGCGAGATGGTCGCGAGGCGTTTGCTAAGTACCTGGAGTCTCGCGGCCTACGGGGTTTCCTCTCGGACTCGGAGCTGGAGAGTCTGGCCGGTGGAGTCGAACCTTTCGACCCGGGCTCGGAGCTTATGCCGGACAATGTCACGGACGACCCGACCCCGCTTTCCCTGCACTACTGGCCGGAGCTTTCGGACACCTCCATCCCGCAGATGGACCTGGGCTGGCCGGACAGCAGCTCGTACCGGGGGGTGACACGCGCCACGGTGTACACCCAGCCGCCCCTAGACGGCCAGGGCCACATCAAAGAGGTGGTCAGGAAAATGATTGCACAGGCCCAGAAGGTAGGCGGGACACAGACCTGTGGAGCGTCAAACAAACGCCTGTTTGTTTATAAGAGTCAGCTGTCCGCTTAGTTGACTTCCACCTGTTTTATATACCCGTGTTTAATGTTTTAAAGTGTTGTTTTAAGTGCATCTTCCTGGTGATGGCAAAAGTTGTGAAAACACCAGCCTAGTGCTCCCTGTCGTTTCAAAACACCACAGGTGCCATATGTGTTATCCATCCATCCATTTTCTGAACCGCTTATGCCCAAATGGGGCATTTATGTGCTATCTCAACTTTATTTATGTTTAGAGGAAATTGCGACAAACAACTCTCATCCTGCATGAGATCAGAGTACAAAGTGCTGACAAACTTACAGGGAAGAGTAAAGTGCAACTGATTAAGCTGTTTTATCTGCCACCAGTAACACTGGGACATTTGAGCCAGGCTGGAGATTTGCATGTTAATGTGCAATTTATTGTCAGGGCACTTGTGGTATCAGTGTGCATGTATCATGAGCCATACATATATGTATATATACACGCATATATTTGTAGTTTTATGCCATTTGTTTATTCTATTTCCACTTATTTTTACACTAAAGCAGCTGCATTAATAACGGGAATGCACTTTATGAAGTCATACTGATCTATACATTTCACACCAATGCATTCTTCCAGGTAATCGCCGTGGCAATGGATGTCTTCACCGACGTCGACATCTTCAGAGATTTGCTGGAAGCTGGTTTCAGAAGGAGGGTGTCTGTTTATATCCTGCTGGAGCGCGCGACACTGCCTCACTTCCTGTCTATGTGTCAGAGGGCCAGCATGCACGCCGGCCACCTCAAAGTAAGCCGCCGTTCACCTTTCCACCTCACTCTTTGCTAAAAGGCTGCCGTCAAAGAGCAAAGTGATAATCACACAATCAGTGGAGGACAAGGTACATTTGGGTATTCAAATTGATATTTTTTATTAAGTACTCATGGGAAAGACATTTCCATGTGGGCATGCCCGTGGGGCTCAAGTTCTGAGTTTATTTTCTATGGTTAATATTTAATATAGAGCATAATTAACTTTCGCTTTCTGTCTATCCCTCTTCTCACACACACCCCTGCATATACCTGTTCAAACATCATCCAGTGATCTCACCCACGCCACACCGTGTTGTAGAAAATCCCTTACGCAGTTGTTTCTTACTTTGAATATGATGACTGCTTTAAAAAAAGAAGGAAGTCAAGCAACAGGTTTTGATCTGTTAGGATGTGTGAAAGGAGTTACATGGAAGAAATAAATGCAATATAGTAAAATGCTTGGCTTCCTTTTTTGTTTTGAGGTATCAAAGGTTGGTCAATAAGAGAACCATGTGAAAAAGATTAAGCTCAGTTTCCTCATTTGACCACTATCTACTGTCTGTTAGCATTTGGTTCATGTTTAGATCTGATAAGTAAAAGAATAGGGCAAATGCTATTAATTTGGGTCCATTGTCATCATGCAGAATGGATTTGGAGACTGGTCAGTCTGTGATTAATGATGTATCATATAACCAAACTGAACTAAACAATGCATAACTGATAAAGGGCAGGACAACATAAACTGCTTCTTTCTGTAGACCCAATGATTCAGGCTGCAACAGCTTGTCTGACTTTGAGCACCATCTGGGTTGGATTGCAAGAAAATACAACTGTGTCACTTCATTTTTTTTTTTTTAACACACACACAAATGTTTTTGAATGAGACTGTGTTCTTCTTTTTTTTTTTTTTTTGTCAGTTTTTCAAACTGTTTCATCATCGCTGTATTTCCCTAATAGCATGAAGAGCATTTGGCTTCCTGCTGTTTTTCTCGTCATCGTTCCAGTACCGTTTCAGCGCAATGTTACCACATACATGCCACATGGATATTGCCAAATTTTGGACAACAGAGTAATTCTGTGAGAGGAAAATGCCCCCTGTGCTGCAGGGTCCTCTGATTTGTTTGAAGTTAAGTTTGTAGCCCAGTGAAATAACATTTGCAAGCATACGCCTATCAAAATTATTTTCTGTTGCGCTTTGCTCTGGTATGGCTCATTTACACTATATATGATTCAGTGGCACATGGTGGAGTGTGCGTGTCCTCGGCATACAAATATCCATTTCTTAGTCATACACTTAATTTCTCCTCCGTTTTGCCCGGAGGCATCTCCAGTGCTCTGCAACCTGATGCATCATACAGTATGGTGCTGCTTTGATTTATAAGGGAGCAGTAGAGCCTTTTCGGGCAACTAACCCAATGTGACCTTTTCTGGTATTAATGATCCTGAATACAGATGCCTGTCCCTGTAGTTTGTTTGTGACAGCCCAGAAAATTTGTTAGACCACTTCAAAAGTGACAAAACTGACAAATTTTAATTGAAACATTTAGATAAAGTCGATAAATGTATGATGTGTTAGGTGATTGGAACATCTTGGATATTAGTAAATTTTAAATTAAAATGGCAGAGCTAAGTGTTTGAAACCCACCACTCAGAGCTGAAGACAAACATGGACAAAACAAAATGAATTAGGGGTTTATCTTGTTACGGTTAACCAACAGAATGCATGGATGCCAAGAAGTAAAGGGTGTGACCAAAGGACAAGGGAAAATGAGTGTCGTTGCTCTAATGCAAGCCTTGCCAGGAACGTTCTGCTGCATCAAGACAAGTACTTGCATAACTTTGTGGGGCCTCCCCGGTCGTTCTGGCAGACTTATTATGCAAATTTAGGCTTCTGAAGGCCAAACTGAGCCTTCCTAAAGGAGACAGCAGCAGTACAAAAACAAAGCTGTCTCATAATGATCAGTATGCAAAAGCTTGATAAGCCGATGCTTTTGAAATTCTACTCATGTAATCAAGGACAAAAAAAAACAATCAAGACTCTTCACTGTGTAAAATGTGAGCAGTGTTTATGTAAACCGACCATCAGCCCAAAAATATTCAAGGAGGAATCATAAGGCCACATGGTAAATCAAGACAATAACGGTTGTTTTTCATGTGGTTGACATCAAATGGTGTATAACTGGTACTGTGGTAATGTGTTTCAGTATCTCCGGGTACGCTGCTCTGAAGGTGCACAGTTCCACACTCGACACTGCACAAAGGTCAGGGGGAGAATGGGGCACAGATTCATGTTCCTTGATGGAGACAAAGCTGTGTCTGGGTCGTACAGGTCAGTATGCATCAGGGCAGTTGGAGACACATGAGACACATTATCATCTAAATGTAAATGTATCCAATGCAGACGTCTGACAGAGCAAATTCTGAGTGACAACATAATCATACTTTGGCCAATTAACTTGGGTAGTGTTCTGCAGAGTAATCTGAGTCTGCTGACATACTCATCAGATGAAAAAGGAGTGGAGCTGAACTTCACGCTTTTGTACAATATTTTCTTTTATATCGGCCCAACACCCTCAAACACTGCGAGTTAGAGCTTTAATTATGATGTTGTTTTAATCGATATCAAATTACCTCGACAGAAGGTCAAAATGAAAGAATAATTCCACTCTAACCACGTTCTCCTTTGTTTTGTGTTAGTTTTACCTGGATGTCCTCACGGCTGGATAGACACCTCATGACTGTGATCACGGGCCAGGGCGTGGATCCCTTTGACCAACTGTTTCGCTTCCTTTACATGACTTCCGAGTTTGTTGACCTAAAGCAGGTGGCAACGGAGCTGGAGCCTGAGCCGGAACTGCGCCCTCAGCTCGCACCTGTGGCTCCCCCTTCTGCTGATGTTGCAAGAAAACTGTACAACCCCAAATATGCCCTGGTTGCCCTGAGCAACCCCAGCCCCACTAACTCTGCTGCTCAGGAAAGCCCCAAAGGGCCCGCAACATCACATAACTCCAAGAAGCAGAAGAGGGCCAGAGAGGAAGCCACACAGGATGCTCCTCCCCTCCACCCAGGATTAATCAATCTAGAGAAAGTATACCTGATATCATACTTGCCCACCTGGCCTGAACCTGACCCGCCAAGTGATGTGATAGGCTTCATTAACATTCGAGATACCAGCAAACCGACTCAGGTTCATCTACAGCGCTCTGAAATGTTTGAAACCAGCCAAGCAATCAGGTTTAGCAGCCCAATCAGCAAACCACAGGTGTCTTTGCCAGAAGTCGCAACGCCCAGACGGCTCACCGTTGAATGTGAAGAGGTTGATAAACTCCAGCTATCGCAAAGTAAATCAGAGGCTGTAGAATCGGTGGTGGATAGAGCAAAGCTAGCACAAAACGATGCGGGTCATGGGGACATTGGAGGTAGAGACAAGACACCAAAACAAAAATCCCCTCCATGTAGTAAAAAGTCAGAGCCTGGCAAGGACAAAGCCAATGCTCTTAAGACTGAGATTAAACTAATTTCAAACACAGTCTCAAATCCAGAGACAGGTAACGGCAAACTGAGTCATCTGAGTGCACATGAGACTACCCAATCCAGCTGTAGAGAATCTGCCCCCAATAATTGTAGGCCTTCACAGAAAGCCCAGACTACATCTTTTGAAAATGTAGAGTCAGACTCAGTGGCAGAATCAAACGCTAAAAAAGAAGATGAAACTGGAACAAGCTTAAAAAAAAAAAGGGCTGTTGTGTGTGATGCCACTGATTTAAACCCAGAAGACACAATAGAAAAACCGTCTGTGGCTCATACAGATTCAAACGCAAATGCTATTAACAGGATACCTCAAATGACTCATAACCTCCAGACTCCCAATGTCCATGAGCACAGTTCCCCATCCTCTGCTTCTACATTGCAGTTTGAATGTTCCACCTTCCTTTCCAAAAATAACCTCATTACTACAGTGCACTCAAGCACAGCTTCCAGTTCTTGCACTTCTGCTCCCTCTAGCAGCTCCCATTCCTCTTTTCCTTCTCCTACTTCCACTTTTACATCACCAAATCCTCCCTCTCCTTCATCCACGTCTTCTTGTTCAGGTCCTCCCATCCCTAAGCAGAGTACTGTGAAGACAGGACTCAAAGATAGCAGCATCAGCGACGCCCACAAACTGCCAGAAATCAGTGTTGTGAGGAGTCCTAATGCCAGCACAGGGCCACAGGCGCTCCAGATGTCAGCGCCTCTTGTAAAGAGGCCTGAAAGTGCCCCTGACCTGCGGCCCAGCAGTGCCAGGAAAGCAGGAGATCATAAAGATACCGAAAACACATATAATCCCCAAGTAACCCCACAGCAAAGAAAGGGTAGGACTTCCCTAGAGAGGAGTAAAGGAGCTGACGGACAATGTGAAGGCAGAACCGGTGCGCCATCAGTCACTGGAATCAAACTACAAACACAGTCAGATGCTTTGATTACTGATGCACCCAAGCCAGCCTTTTGCGATGCTCTTAAGATGAGTCAGGAAGATGTAGATTCCAAGACTTCCACATCTACAAATTCCGGGACAGACTGTGTGTTCTTAGCAGAGCCAGACATTAAGGCCTCAGAATTTTCCGGAGTGCCAAATATGACACAATGCCAAGCAGACCTTCCAAAAGTGAATGAGCCTCAGAGAACATCGTATCGTAAACTGACATCACAGGATGTGGGTGTGTTGGGGACGGTGGACTCCTCAGAAGCCCCTGTTCACTGTATGGACACATTTGTTGCAGATGCACAAGTCATCAAACCTGCACACTGCACAGACTCCCCAAAACAAAGCACACACACTGTGTTGAAAGGTCGCACCCACACACCTGTAAAAGCCCTCACTTTACAACTCTCCGCCAAGCAGTCGCCATCCCCCGAGCGAGGCCTGACTCAGGAGGAGTCTCCTTCACATCCGTCCAGCTCAGGTTCAGGAACAACCTCTCCCGTTCCACGACTACGCACGCCAGACGTCCAGACACCAACACCTGACAGTGATGGTTACATCTCGCCCAGACAGGACTCCACCACTTCTGAGGAGTATTATGAATGTAGTGACTCTCCTTTCCCTGAGCCCGTTCTTGATCAAAGCGCTTATCAAAACCATGGGGAAGAGGAGAATTTGATCAGCCTCCCACACTGGAGTATGCCCAAAGATGGCAGTGCTGGTTCTAATCCGGCATACCTGACTTACAGCCTCGGTGCTGCGACATTAAGCTCCACAGAACAATACAGTTCTAACAGTGAGACTTCATCAAGGACTTCTGTCGTCTCCTCTTCTTCTTTAATTGGGACAAAAGGTCACAGCAGAGAGCCAGAGGACCCAAATGAAGAAAACGAGAAACCAGAGGACATAAAACCAGAGGACCTGAGTCATGCAGGGAAGAAGAAGAAAGAGCAAGAATCCCAGGGGATTGAAGGGGCAAGCAGTGATTGGGCTGGTGGGATGGTGGTGCATTTTGAACAAGACGATTCAATAGAAACAGCTTTGAAAGGCCAAGAAGTCCAGGCTGCTCAGACAAAGAGGGGGCAGAACCACCCCGCGCCACAGAGAGAGGCTGATAGAGGAGCGACTGCTGGAAAATCAACCCGTCAGGAGACAGAGCAGAGGCAGTCGTTAACTGAAGGGCTCAAACCGACGATTGTTGCTTCTGAAGGAGAGAAAAAAGAGAAAACATCCTCAGGGGGGGAAAAAGCATGGAACGAGGGGGCGCTAAGACCCGGCGATGAAGAGAGTAACAAGAGCCAGTCACACAGAGAGACAAAGGCACAGAAGGTAGGAACCTAAAAAAAGCAGAAGTTTCATATCTGTTTTTAAAGCCATTTGCTTCGTTGCACAAAGGGATCATCTCAAGCTGCTAGGCATCTTGATGAAAATGAATTTTCTAACTAATTTAATAACATTGGAATCCTGTTTGCAGCACACACCAGCAAAAATACAACACGAGCTAAACATGCTGTATCGCCAGTCCAGTGTGGGTCTGCTGTGGTGAAAGAAAGCCAACATTAGATACATACTGAAAGAGTAACATTTAAAAAAAAAAAAAAAGATGTTATTGTGTTCATTGGTGCCTTTCCAGATCTTTAAGTGCCATACAATCAGATATGAAGACCTGTGAACTGAAAACTGATGACAAATAACTTTTCCAGAAATAGATGTCACAAAGAATTTTTGGCCCAGAGCGGAGCGTTGTTTCCTTCCTCTGTGCAAACGTGGCACTGTGTTCATAGACACTGATATATTGAAGTGTTTTTAAACCCATGCCACGATTTCCACAATACAGTCACAATACAGTCATGCTCTGGCCAGCTTTACTTCTGAGAGACTCTCCTGCACATTGGTGCTCTTTCATATTCCCATTCGTGCTGCCAATCAACATGAGTCGTAAACTGTTTTTTATTAGGACCCCTTACATTTTCACTCTTTTTTTTTCTTTTTTTTTTTTACCCCGTCCAACCAGCATTTGTTTATCTTGGTTTATGAACTTACTAAATTCTGTTTTCTATTTTCAAAGCATGCCAACTATTTATTTAGTTGGAATTAAGGTAATTTGTAATCAGAGTTAAATGTAATTGATTTTATTTGCTTAAAACTTAAATTAGACCTAAATTGTGAGGCCATATATACAGTGTTTGTACTTTCCTGTTGGCTATACATCAGCAGGCCATCACTGAGCTGGAACACGGCTCCATTATTGAACGAGGTGACTGAGGGGGAATCAAAGTGACTTTCTTTTAATGAAGTTCCACACGTGCTCAGACTGATGCAATGTTAATGAGCGGATAAAAGAAGAATGGCTTCACATTTATTGTTTTCCTGAGTCCACAGTTTAATTTCATCTGGCATTAATTTGTAGTTGTCAGGTGTTGACTGCATTTAGCTCAGTTTAATCATAATCACAGTGTAATGTAAACAAAGGAAAAAAATGAAATGACCAAGTAGATCTTTATTTATTTCCACTTGCAACGATGCTTTTATTTCACTTGTTGCTGAGTCTTAAACTCCATTATCAATACGATGAAGGCGCTCTCAGAATTGAAATGAGCATGTGCGGTCTGCTGACCTGTAACGAGTCCTAATCAAATATCTCTTTGTTTTCTGTAGTCCACACACACCTCCCCCAAACCCCATCCTGCCCATGAGCAGAACTCTGGGTCCTCCTCATCCAGCCGACCACAGAAGCCCCGACTCCTCTCAGCTTCTCAAGCCTCTCCTTCAGGGAGCCGTGAACTGAACCCAACTGACAACAAAACGCTCCCCGGCAGTCCCAAGCTCACGGATAATTTCTCATCTGCTCGTAGACAGCCCAGGCCAGCCTCCACTGTCCCAGCAGGTGCGGTTGGGTCTGCGGCCGGGAGGAGACAGGTCTCCCAAAGCCAGCAGACCATCCCCGCTCGACAACCTCCAGCACCACAGATGAGGGCAAAGACCAGCCAACCTCAGAGCCAGACGCCTCAGCAAAAGCCCCCGGCCTCCTTTCTCTACACGCATGCTAAGCTACAGTCCTCACTCCCCCCTAATCCCACCGTGGATATGGTACCCGCACAGGAGGCCCAGGCACAGGTTAGTGCTCCATTTAGCCTGACCTTCGGCAGGCTTCACAGTTTTAAAAGCAAAAAGAGCAAGACGCCCGTACAGGGAAAGAGAGGCAGCAGCAGCCCCCCAGTGAAGGGACGCAAAAGCACAAGCTAGCGTGGCTGCGCCAGTCCGTCTGTCCTCAGGGTTTCTGTTACCGGAAGCAAAGTTTTGTGAAGTGTTTTTATGTTCCTTCTTTTGACATAATTTAATAATTCCTCTCAAACAAAAACTCCCACTCCCTCACAACTTGTACATTGAGCTTCTTTCTTCAGGTTACAACCACCACCCCATTAATAGCCAACAGATCTGGAGCTGATGGCTCCTTTTTCAGCCTGTTGCTCTCAAATGTTGACAGCTGAATAATAGAGCTGCTTGCCATTAGTATTTCTTTCTTTTTTTCCTGAAAAACTAAATACATACTGGGTTTTCCCCAGCTTTCATAGTAAAAGGGCTAAAATAAATAAATCAGAAAAAGTTTTTATGTAATATAAGTAAAAATCTGTATATCTATTTTTTGCAGCGATAAGATCAGTGTTTGTAGTGGCGTGATGCAAATGAGGGGTTGGTCCATTTGCAGGTTTTCAGTTTTTTTGTCAGTTGACACATGAACGCAATCCAGTGCCTCATGCTGCTGTCTTTTATCATGTGTTTTTGTGTATTCAGAAAGGTATTCAATAAAATAAAAACAGATTCTGAAATGTTCTTTGATTGTTTCCTTCCTTTTTATTTGACCCCTTTTGCATTGTGTGAATTTGTCGTTTGTCCGTAGAAGACTGAAGGAGTGAGGCTGTTGATTTATTCGTCCTTTACACCAAGTTCCATTTGCATTCAAAATGATTTTTGCCTGAGGAACAGATTTGCAGAGCCTGTATGCTAAGCAAGGCAGAAGTGATCTGTGGAGATGAGCACAGTAAACACAACACTGGGCCGACTCCCTAAAGACAGATGTGCGTGTCCTGTGGCCCTAATGGTCCGTGCATCAGTATTTGGGAGGAGAAGGAACGTGTGGAGATGCAGCACAGCTAAATTCAGGAACGCCAGCTTGTGATGACCTTAAATTTATCAGAAAAAAATCCCTGTTCTGTCATGATACACAATAGATTACTGATTTTGTTGACTAGATATTTAGATTTTTATCATGTCAATGTTTTCTGCATTTTGGTGTTTTTCTTTTCTCAAATGATTAGATTTATCTGTCTAACAACTGAGTAGAGGACACATATCTACATGTGTTCACTCTATTTAGATGAAATACATATACATGATATTTTTCATGAATCATTGATGGCAACCTTTTGAAGCTGTGGATGCTCAGCTTGCCAGATGAGATACTTCACACATCATGCAGATGTCAGAGGTGAAAAAGAGTCTGGCTTCAGACCTGTCAAAACACTCTGAGACGCTCAGTCTGAGGCATAGACGCTTCTTTAACTCTCCCTTCATGTTTCTCTGCGTGTTGCTTTTTCTGCAAACATCTGGCATTTGTCACATAAGTAGAAGGTAAACACAGCTTTCAGGTTGTTATGTCAGTACTTTTAATGATAAGACGCTCACTGGTACAGCACTAAAATTAGACTTCCATTAGTTTTTTGTGCAAATTCAGATCAGTGACCACTCCTTGATGTGCTTAATCTCCAACACTGTGATCACACATTTTTGTACAGTCATAACTAATGGGTTTTTCCTAACACTGACCCACAGGTACCAACTTTACGAACATGGCTCCCCTGGTGTTAAAGCTGAATTAATGCTTGCACTCTGGACTGCATTCAAACTAGGGATAAAGTGTTATTTTAAAAAATTATAACATAATACAGTCGCATTAAACAGCTTTCTGGGTCATCCATCCAGATTTAGAATGAGTTAGACACAGACAACACACACATGCCCTTGTTTCACATAAGAAGAGAGGATCCAGAAAATAAAAAGGGAAGCAGAAAACAGAAAGAAATACCTCCCGGCGAGGCTGATGGCCAAAGAAACTAGAGGAAAATGTGGAGGAAGCTAAACCTCACTGACTCACGTGTGCTGCTTGCATTGTCACGCATGTCACAGTAAAGTTCTTGAATGTTGATTCATTTTGATACTCGGCCAACACAAACCCAGCAATAAAGAATATTCCACTTTCCATTCCACCTCAGATCCATAACAGTCTCTCTTTAGCTATTTCTAATCCAGAGGCCATGTACCAGCTCCTGTAGGAATCATCCTCTCTTCCAAAGCAGGAGAGTGAATCCTGACTGGTATTTAAATGGGTTGGATTTAGATGAATGCCGGCAGCTAACCTTTAGTCCCCGAACGGAGCAAAATGAAATGGACCTCAGGACAGAAACGGCACAAGATTCAATTTTTTTTTTCAACAATTTTTTTCTCTGTGTAGCCGGCATGAACGGCTCCATCCCAGAAAAACAACAACACGCACAATCAAACAGCCCCTCAGTTCCAACAGAAACCGTTCCACTCTCCCTCAGGTCATTTATATGTATATGAGAGATTTGGTTGTGAGACATGCTTGAGCACACACACACACACACACACACACACACACACACACACACACACACGCAGCGTTTAGGACCCATGGTGACATCATCCATTCATCCGGGCACTTCAACCCCGTAATAACCGACTGTGGCAAACCTACCATCAGCCTCAGAGTTCTCAGCATCAAAAAGATGATCGCACGCGCACAAAGGAGAGACCCAGCTGTCTTTGGTGTGTGTGTTTTTGAGGTTTGAGAGGGGAGAGGCCTTACACAGCCAAGCAGCAGTGCAGATACACTCGCAGGTGTTTGTCGGAAGGCTTAGTCAAGATGTCCTGTGACACAATATGAGTCATTGATACTCATTTACTTCCCTGGGTGATGAAGTTACCAGCTTGGATTTGATTGAATACACACGTGTCACTTTGGAAAATTTAACATGACAAACCTGTGAGGCTAAACATTTGATTTGGTTTGGTTTTCTCCACTTTTCGGTTTCTTAATTTTGTCCTCTGCTGCTGTGAGTGACACTGAAATCCAAGTCTGCCTTCAAATGGCCGTTTAAAGTCTGAGAAGGACAAGCTGCAGGTTTACACTGATAAGGGAATCGATTAGCTGAAAATGTGTCACATCATGGACAAGAATGATTAAACGTTGAATGTGTACTTAATGTGAATTTCTGAGTTCATATCAATGTCAGATAAAAGTACATATCTTTTTTCATCTTGTATTTATTTTTGCTTCTCAGCACTAGCGGGAAATCCCAAAATCTTACTCAAAGTCTTACTCAACAGGTTTGGATATATAACATATCCCTTCAACAAAGTAAGTAGTTAACCTTCAGTGCTGGAATATAAGGATGACTTTTTTAAATAATTGAATATACAGACCATAGATCTAAAACTTAATTTGATATAAATCTAAGATAAAATGCTCAATAGATTCAATTCATTATGGAGTGGAGCTGAGGAGCAGAGCTCAAGGAAACTGTGGAAAACGAGGACCAGGATCAAAGTCAGGGTCAAGAACATGGACACAAAAGAATGATCAGTTCCGAGAAAAAGACAATAGAAATTCAGAAGGCATAGAACAAAACCCAGATCAGAAGATTACCAGAACAACAGGAAAAAGTGGGGGGTGGGGGGGAGTCAACACAAAAACTGAAAACCCACATATCAACACAAAACTTGTGATAAAAGATTTTCTCCTTAATAAAACAACCAAAAAAAAACAGGAAATCCCGCTTATGTGAAAATGACTCATTGTGGTGTGTTACTTAATCTTTCACCTTTGTTTTGGCTTTGTGCCGTCAAGTGTTTTTTGTGTTTTCGCACCTAAGGGCCACCGTACAGACAAATATCCATTTATGGCATTTCATATCTGGTGGCTGAGTTGTTTCACACACAGAAAAAGTAGCGTGTGGCGTGTAGAGCTCTGCGACATGAAGCCCTGCATTAAGGCCACTGAGGCGGCATTAAAGCTACGTACAAAAAAAAAAAGCAAAGACCCCAGAGGCAGCAGGAGGTCTTACAGCGCACATTCTCATGTTGTCGGGAAGTCCTAGAGTTTATATCAGCTGACAGAGTGTGCAGCTGACAGGAAAGTGTGTGTGGCGAGGGATCAGACTCCCCCATTTGGCCCAAACAACCCTCACTGACAGACTCACGGTCCCTCTGGCAGGAAATGAAGCGCATTTTTGAGCAGCTCCGCCGCGCCCAGATGATTTTTTTATGTGTGGATCTGCTGGGAGGAAAAAAAAAGGGTGTGCTGCATATTTCACGGGGTGATCAGGTGCTCGTTTGCAGCGCTGCAGAGATCAGCCACTTTTTTGTCTGTTTGATTTCAGACGCCACTTAAAATTCCCATCCAGCCACAGAGTGTGTGCGACCCAAATATGGGGCCCAGAGAATAGATTACAGTGGAGGTAGTCCGAGTGAAACGGTGTCATCCATCATGATATCATTAATGCAAAAATAACTCAAACAAAATGTGTTCATATTCTTGATAGAAATATGAATTCACATACATGAGATGGTGGTAGTGTTCAGCAGAAACTTTATTTAGAGATGGAGAAAACTCTCTTCCACATTTAGATTTAAAAGCTCTTATTAAAGGTTCTTGGATCCCACTTTAAACTTTCAGTAGTTTCCAGCTGTGTGAGCTGCTGTTGGATGACTCCAGCTTCCCGCTGCAGCTGGAAATTGTGAACGTAAACCGAAGAGTGAATGTGATGTTACGCCTTATTTGAAGCAGAGCCAGTGTTCAGCTAAAACTGTTGCAACTGCCCTCCTCAAAGTGTCACATTTCAAGGAGCTTCCTCATGATGTAAGGATGTTTCTCCTGTCAATTTGGATTACCAAGCTTCTGGAAACTGAGCCAGCTCATGCACAGCACTGTAGTAAAAGCAAACAATCCTGCAGGTCTTTTTTTTTAAGACGTTACCATTATCACTACACTTATTAGGATATATTACCATTGCAAAGATATCAAAAAGGCCTTTGGAAGGTTTTGTCATGCTTTGAAAAATAATGCTCAGTGTCTGTTTTGGTTGAGTGTAGGATTAGAACCTTTGAGACCAATGCAACCCAATAGTATGGATGCTTCAGTCAAACAACACAACCACTTTTTTAAAAAGCCACTTATTGTTTTAACTGTTACCCTTGTCTCAATGTCAGGGAATGGTAAAATGCCTGAGTTTTGACGTGAATTTTTGTTTTCTACAATCTGTTGTGAACAAAATTTTGGTTTAAGAAATACAAAAATCATTGCACTTTGAAAAATTACACTGAGCTCTGAAATGTTATATGACTTTGTTCATCGAGAATAAATGTTTTTGATGGCAAAAATGCTTTCAGAATGGTAGGGGGCAGACATTTTTATGCAGTTACCCACGCTTTGACAAAAGACCACTGGGACAAATCAGCAGCGAGGCTGAGCGGTCCTGATGCATCAGTGCTTTACATCTGCAAGTTCCAGCCTGAAACTCCCGAATCAGTGCCAGTCCGTCGTGAATCATTCATGAGAACATCTACCTTTCCTGTGTGTTGAGAGATGTGTTTCTATTTTGTTATTTTTGTTTGAATTTTTTATTTAATTCCTTTTAGTAGTCCTTTTTGGCCAGCCCAGTTCCTCCTCTGAGGAAGGAATTTGAAAATAGCGCCTCCTTACTTGGAACACTTGATGTTTAAGGCTCTTATATCGTAACAGAGGGCCATAGTTTTGGGCTGGATGATGGAAAACAAGGAGAGTTCAGGTGAAAAGAATAAAAATGAAGTTGCATAGATTGAGATCCCTCGTGATATTTTACAACCCACTCATCCCTTTTGGATGCAGCTGATTATCTGGGGAATTTGATTAATCTTACCACAAAAGCTTAGACAACAGACATGATGTAATAATGTTATAAAAGGAGATTCTGCTAATTAAATCATCACATCACTGCCATGAAATGTTCAACACTGTGCATCATGATAATTTGCATAGTCTGACACGAGCTCTCTATTTCATGTTTAGGTAGCGCAAGAGGCAACTTGCTCTGTTGTGATTTCATTCAACAATCTGGTCCAGGAAAAATGACTCAGTCTCATATATTCAGCAGCCGTTTCTTTGCAAAAAGCGTCATTTGGCTGAAGGTTATCCCGGGGATCATTTTAAGATAGGTCAGTATAACAGAGGCTCGGAGGAGTAATTGGACAGCTTTTCTCCGCTCTACACAATGACAGTGATATTGGAGCTGAGAGAACTGCTGAGATTTGATTAGCTCAGCCGGGCCTGAGGTATTCTGACTGTAACATCCCCAACATCATCTCATTCATGCAGCCCTCTGAGCAGAATATCAACATATTTTGAGGCTTGACTTCAAGTCAGAAAGAAGGTCATGCTATGGCTGCTGTACTCGTTACTGCTCTCCTATTTGAGCAGGGGGGGTAACTCAAACGTGACCCCCAGCGAGACCCTGTTTGGATGTCAGTGACAGCACCGAACAGACACAGCAGCTCAGCCACAAACACAGGACACGCAGTGATGATTTGCGGCTTCCTGTGGAAAGTTGCTCTCTCTGACACCACCACAGGGCTGCTGAAGTGTGTAAACGGTGTCGTGCACGACCCGCACAAGCGGCTCTACTTCAACACAACGAAACTATAGGGCCACAGCGCCATCTGCAGCCTTTTCAGGTTTCTTAAAATCATGGTTTTCTATATAAACCTTTTTATTTGATCAAATTCCAAAGCAGTAACAAAAAAACAACAATTACAAAATGTGAAAACTCTAATGTAGAGTCCAAGTACACACAGATTTCACATAGTACAACGCCAAGTTCCATTGTGTTTTTCAAAAAAATTGTTTCCTGAGTGTTTTAGGGGATGATTAAAATAAATTAAAAGTCTGTGTATGGTGTGTGTGTGTGTGAGTGTGTGTCTGTGTGTGTAAAGGGGGCATTTTCACAGACCTGTCTCATGATGGGTAGATATTTGAATGACGGCGTATGTCTCCATCTAGTGGTGCAACGTGGGAATTGCACCAGGATGCATTTATCCCTGGCTTTATTTACAGAACATCTCAATTAATTGGAAGTTGTGTAGGTGCCTCTTCTATATTTTCTCTGTGCTTTAAAAGCCATTTGATATTTAAAGTGTGATCAAAATAATCCTAAACGGTGTATTATTACCAACTAAGAGTGTATTGGGCCACTTAAGTAACCATCAAGACTATAAAATTGTTGGTGAGTATGGTGAGGATAATTCCCTTTGCCGACTTCCAGGTTGTTTTTAACTTTCTGACTGACCTTGCGTTAATTCATAAATTAAATAATAAAGATAAGCTGCTGAGTATGCTGCTTGCTAACTGCAGCATAACATCTCCACCATGGTGCCTCATAGCTGGTACGAGGCTCCTGCTCCTGGCCAGACCACTCTGTGATTGATTAATCTCTCAGGATAATGCCATTCCAAGAGACTGTGTCGCAACATATTTGCTTTTTCAAAAACTATTTTTCCTCAGCATGTCAAATCTGTGCCATCCTCCTTCCCAGTGTAGACAAAAGAACAGGTCGCTTACATATTTTTTATTTTCCCTTTTCTTTGATTTGACCAGACGGGTAATTCTTGAAATCATTACCAAGCAACTGATACTTATATAATTTCAGAAGATGTCATGTTTTGTGTTTTATTTTTTTAGGCCAAATGTGCTCAAACTTTGCTGTGATTACATTCCCCCCTTAATCTTTACTTTTGAGGTATATTCTTAATCTCAACTATTGAATTTCCAGGAATTTCCAGACATGTTCGCAATAGTCAGTTCTATCAATTTCTCTGACAGGCCGCTCAGTGACGTGGACGGAGAAAAGAACAAACAACAGCAGATTTTCTTTTCTTCAATATGAATATGTTTATTAATCATCTAAAAAAAGGAAATCTATAAACAAAAAAAGGCAAAAAAAGAGAGATGAATGCCAAATTGCTCCCTTCCCAAAACACACCCGCACAAACACATATGCATTTACGTTGTCTTTGCTTCTTAGTCTGTGTAGATTAGAGCTCCAGTATAACTCAAATGTGATTTCATGTGGATTTACATCTGAAAGGTTTGCTCTTTCATCTGTGCACCTGTATCAACCGTCTTGGGTACAGATTAAGGCACTGAACCTGTTTTTTTGTTTTTAGGGGGGGACGCTGTACGTGGCACATCGTTTTTTTGTGTTCTTTTTTTGTACCCAAAACAAATGGCATGACTCATTCAACCACTGATCTCCTGCTCCAAAAGGCCAACCTGTCTGAGCACATAAAAGCTGTCAACTACAACTAACATTCACCATTAGTTATCCTGTATCTTTGCTCAGGCTTTTGGTTACAATATCAGGTGAGTAAAGTGTGTACATGGTACAGAAAAAAGATGCATGATCAGACTCTTCCTCAAAACATCATTGCACTTTTGCGCTCTTAAGTCAGTTTTAAGATGCCGTATCAGGCATGACAAAGACAAATATTAACAGTTCAACTTTTAAAAAGGTTCCTGATACATTAAAGCAGCCAGTGGAGCAACACATTTGAACAGTGTGGTACTATAAGTTAACAGCAGTCTAACGCCCTAAAACATGACAGTGATTGTTTATTTGCAAGAGTTAGGTCCCTCGTTGGAGCGATGGAGTACAATAAGCTGGATGTTGGCTTTCGCTAGCGATGATGTCTGTGCTTATGAGCTCACTCTAATCTGCATCTGGGTATAAACAAAAGGGGCACGAGGAGATAAGGTTACATAACAGAAGGATATCGTTTCTAAGTCGAAGCCATCGCTCCGCGTTGAGCGCGCTCCAGCAGGGGGACCCCTCACCTCAAATATCTGCAGCCATGACGAGGCATTTGCATAGCTCATCTATACATTTGTACTTAACACTTACAGTAGTGGACATTGCATGTGGTCAGCCTGCAGGAGATGACGATGCTCTCTGAGTAATGGAAGGAGGTAACGGCATGTTGGGCATGAGCTGCAGGCCAGCGCACCGGCCAGCAAAAGAGTCAAGTGAAAAATGGCACTGGAGTGAGGATGAAAATGTACAACTTTAAGTACACCGGAGGACTCTGATGAAGCTTTTTGCCCCACAAGTCCAGAAGCTTCATTTTCTAGAACTTTTGATTTTGTTTTCAAGTTTACCAGAGCAGACTTGTCGTAAACGTCTGTTTTTCCGGTTTCAAAACTCGTCGGACTGCAAAATACTAGCACTGACAGTCAACAAGAATTTAAAAGGGTTAAATACGATGTCAACAATACAGGGGACAACATAAGGATTTGATCTCTGTTTGTAATACCACTGCCTTCAACTTAGAGATGAATTTAAAAAAAGAGCAAAACAATTGAACAATATGTCATCCAATATCATGATCTTATCTTTACCGTGGTGATCTGAATAAACAGGAATATCAGACATTCTGACAGCTCCAAACAGAACACCGCCCTCCATTCTCAGTAACCCAGAAGATACCATCAGTGAAATTCATTGTTCAGGATAAGCAAGTTCGGGAATCATTTGAAGGACAGAGATGAAATTTGACTATAAGATCAGTTCTTCAAAAGCATGCATAAAAAGCTCACTTTCAGTGGAGAATGAAACATCCCACTCTGTGCAGTCTGCTTCTGCATATGTATGATTTCTCCCCCCAAAAAAAGGAGGGTCGGCTCTTTCCCTCTCATCAATTTTTTTGGACGATTGCTAGAAACAAGCCAATCTCTAAATTACCATAACAGAAGTCAACAAAGAAAACTTTGATGTGCTTAATGGGTCAGATAGCAGCACCCGGGGGACATGGGGAGAATGTTGAGCCTCTCGTTTGCTGAAAGCAGGAAGTAACGATCAGAATGGTTTGGATTGGCTGATCTGCAGTTATGGCAGTCGCAAAACATGCAGCAGCACGAAAAACATGAGACTCAAGCTGCAGGAATTTTTAGCGTGCCACAACCTTCATGTTTAGCATGCGATCCAAATGAGGGGGGGGGGGACTAACTTTTGGAGCGTCTGTTGCTAATCCTGTGAAATGGACAATGAGAGTGGATCCCTGCCCCTAATCCAATGAAATCTGGAAAGTCAAGAAAGGCAGCTAGAGTATTTCATTTTTTTCCACTTCATGTTATGATCTTCTATATTCACTTCTGCATGCACATGCACACACACACACACACACACACACACACACACACACA